TGCTCTGAGCACCATACATTCTTCTCCAGTACCCAGACCAGCTCCCAGAGTTCGTGACAATGAGGATGGTGATGATGAAGAGGGTGATGATGCTACTGTCACTAGGAGGGTAAAAGAAAGAGGACAGTGGAGACAGGTGACCATATCTTGCCCACACCTCATCAAAGACTACAACAAGTTCATGGGGGGAGTGGACTTACATGATCAAATGACTTCTGTGAACAAGTCTAAAAAGCAAATGAGGTGGTAAATGAGAATGTTTGTGAATCTCCTTCAAATGTGTGTCTTCAGTGCCTACGTCATTGAATCCCATTACCGGGCACATCAAGGTCATGGCCACAGAAAGAGAGATCTTCTTAGCTTCAAACAGGAACTGTGCATTCAGTTAATTGGAGATTTTCCCACAACCCATGAGAACAGCCATGAAAGGAGGCGAAGCTCGAATGAGTACCCAGAAAGAATGCATGGTGTAGGTGAGCATATTGTTTGTCGTGGTGAAGGCAACGATCACCGGTGTGCTGTTTGCTTGAAGAAGCAGCAGGAATTTACGAGGATTAACAGAGGAGTTAGGAAGAAGGACTGTCCATTCAAAGACAAGAAGAACACCTTCAAGTGCATGAAGTGAAATGTTTATCTTTGCATTGGAAGGGAGGGCTCTAACTGTTTTTTTGATTATCATTCAAGGTTGCAATACTGGCTTTAGACTTACAGAACAAATACTGCAGATAGACAAAAACTGAACAATACTGTGGTAAAAAAAATCGTTTTTATTGCATTTCTTTTGCTGTGGATAAAATAGAGCAAGGATTGATCATCAAAGACATTTCCTATCATACTTCAGATAAGGCATAATTATAATGCATCACAGGTACATGTACCGGTTGAAAACTGTTCAAATTATATTGACTTTATTTAGATTGTTTTTGGCAAGGACACTTGTATTTGAAAGAGACATGTTCTGCCTCACTTCAAAGGCAGAAATACCACCAGTTAAGTGCATCTCTCTCCCAAACCTAGAAGAGCAATACCATTAGTCTGTGGTTTTTCATATTGACTAAATTAAGAATGTGGTAATTCAGTCAGTGTTGTATCTATAGACATATAACTTACCTTAAATGAAAGAAAAATTTCTGATGAATAAATCGATATATGGTGTGCTTTATACAAAAATGCATTCTTCTATGTGAAAAATGCACTTTTTTCAAACTTGTGCATTTCAAGGAATAATCACAAAAGGTGCCAGTGCCCAGGGCACTTTCCATCTGGAATACTTGGTGGTGAAAGGGTTAAGAAAGAAATATCCTTTTACTCCCTTTAGTTCAAAATCAACCTGTCAAACCTCTGCATGCCATATTTCAACTTGGTCTCCTTTCACACTAACCATGTCACCAGGTTGGGGAAAAACAGGGACAATAACCTTGGGAAGAGGGCTGGTTGCTCTGGAATGATCCCCAACTGCACATTTTCCATCATGCTCCACCCACAACATGACTGGCTTTACAATGTGATTTAAGCCAATACAAGTGCATGTCTGAAAAGATTTGA